AAAAAAACCCAGCCGCTATTGTTAACTAATTGTAGCCTGAATTGTAGAAGATAAATACTGAGTTACAACATATCTAATGGGGTCTTACTATGTAGAGGAGCAACACTGAAATGACGATTAAACTGAGAAGATGTTTACAAAATATCCTAGAATGTTTGACAGAGAAAGCGAGGTAGCTGCTAGTAAATTGTTAACAGAAGAGGCAATGACCAGCAGCAGATTTTAAGTTTAGCTTTACAAAAAGAGTTTTCTCCCTGATGAGAGCAGTGGAACGATGATTTTCAAGTTCCTTCGCATTCATAAGCTTAGAGGAAAGCCACTGTGTCTTTGAAATAATATTATCTTTGCTATAAAAAGGAATTATAACTTTAGCTCAGTGTGAAGCTGAACAGGTATCGGGTGTTGCACATCATGTGCTATGAAGCATATTGTCCTTTGTGTCAGACTGGATGCTTGGCAGATTTATTTTTGTAGTGCAGTAAAATAAGATCACCCCCTGTTCAATATCAAGAAAGGGTTAAGTATATAATTTTTTTTTAATAGGCGTTTTCTTCAAGTCTTACAACCAAATCAGTTTGGATTAATTAAGAAAACAGAAATTTTGTTTGGAGATTTTCTTTGAAAAGTCCCATGTGGTAAAATACTAACGTGATCTCCTGTAAGCCTATCTATGCCAGCCCCTATAGAAAAGGGAATGGGCTTTAGATTCTTTGCAAACAAAGTTTTGCCATCCAGTTTTAACCTTTGAACTATTCAGTGAAAAATAATGCACCCTGGTTGATCTCAGACAACGGTTAGCGCTAATGTGATGTGGTCTGCTGAGGTGCTGGCCTTTGTTCTGGACTTCCCATGTCTCTTTCTCATTAATTTTAATTCATTACTGCCTTGGTAAGATGTGGTTTCTGCAATCCTAATAAAAATTGTCATTCCCATTACATCAGCTAGTGCTTTTAGGTTTTTTCCCAATACCTAGTTTTAATGACACTCAGTCAGACTTTATTCAACAGGACTATATTTTTATGTGCTAGTAATTTGTTTGCATTGAAAGCGGGCTGGATGGTATTTTTTCCGTCTTTTGTTTAACCCACCCATAAACTTTGAGTGTAACTCTTATTTTACGCTACTTATTTTACCGTCTTGTAACTACAGAAATCCCTTATTCATGTTGAGGAAAAGTTAGATGCTAGGCTATGCCTCTAATCTGCATGTGAGAGAATGTTTTGGATTCAGAATTACAAGGTGCAATTTGAGTTGCTATGTGATGAGTAGCCTTTATCTGAATGGTGATATAAATAATTGAAAAAATAGTGGAAAAGGCTCCAAAGTAATTTCATGAAACCAGTATAATTACTCTGACGTTTTCTACAGAATACAAATTCTGTTCTCCCAGAAGTGTCTAGGAGGTTGAAGACAATTCATTACTTGGGAATGGTGGTTGGGTACTGTTTTTTGAGACTTCAGAGCCATCCTTTTAAGGGTATGCAGAACCTTTGGTTAAAGCAAGCTTAGGAGAATTAATGTAAAGGTGAACTGTAGCTTTCTTCTCTGAAAGCGTTTCCAGCCAACTTTACTTTAGACAGGACCTTGAGAACAAAACAAATAGAATTGTTAGAAGTCTGCTCTATGCTGTAAGGTTTTCATTTAGTTGCATGTCACCTGGAGTTGCTTTTTGTTGTTGTTGTTGCTCGGGTAGGACCAAAGATACATGTCTGCAGATGCAAGTAACTTCAGATGTACGGTGGATGGTGATGCCCAGGTGTTTACTGATTGCACCATGGCTGCCACAAGATTTCTGCTGAGATGTCTCCGATGTAATGAGTATTACTAGTCAATGCTACAAAAGATAGTACAGTTTAGCAGACTTGGTGAAGAACCAGTTACTGCCCTAGCACTGACTAAGGGTCATTGTGGCAGGCATGCTGAAAGTTTGTCAGTGATGAATGAAATGTTCAAAAACATCCTTGTAACATTGGTGCATACTGCTATCAGTGTGGTAAGGATCTGAACTTTTTTTTACCGTATTTAATCTTAATGTAGTCAATATTTTCTTGTAATCTGAACATTAATTACACTGAATTGGTCTTTATTAGTCATTATCAGCTGGCTCTGTTTTAGTGAACACTTTGTGGGTTTTGAGCAGGGATTTCAAGAAGGAAAGGGTAGTGGTCTTGAAACTAATTTAGAGAGTGTGTCAAGGCACCCAGAACAAGATGAGAGAGAGTACCAAGACTGGGAAAAACAGATGAGATTTTGATTAAGGTCAAACTGAGGTCAGATTGGGTAATGTTGTGAAGTGATGTGTCAAAATGCCAATGCGTAGAGAAAAAGTGGAAAAGACTATTGGGCTTCAGTTTTCTGCCAGAAGAACCATCCTGTCACTCTGCGGTATCCTCACAGTGGTCATCTACAGTATCATGCCTGATAATAAAATGCTTCATTGGCTCTAGTTTGGATTTTTCAAATGCTGGGAGACAAACAGACATTCCAGCTTCCGTGATTAAGAAACTGCAGAAGACCCATTATAAAATTCTGCTGTCAGCTGCACCTTAATCACCCTGGGAAATCTTACTGTATGCAAGACTATGCTATCACACATTTACTGCTGCTCCTTACTTGACTATGCCTATTCCTGTGGTTTCTTCTCAGTTTAGCTGCTTCAGTCTCCGCTCTTGAAGGTCCTGCACCTGAAGGTCACAGCAGCCTGGTACTGCCTTCACCTTATTCTGTGTGTGAGTGTGATTACCAGAGCCCCTCAGCAGGTGATGGGACAGAAATGCCACACCACAGTGTGACCTGCCTAACACGTATCCCAGATGGGTGCTTTAACCAGTCTCTTGTCACTCTCTGTAGCTGAGCTGATGGCAGCCCCCTTAGGAAGCCATGTTGATAGATTTTACAAAAGCAGATCAAAAAGCTGGTTTTTCTTTTAAAGTTAAAAGCGCATGCAGACAGGCCCTGAAAGCAGGGACCTGTATGGTTTTCACAGCCATGTGGTTATTCTATGGGTCTATTAAAGATGCGATTATGATATGGTGTTAAAAGAGCAGGAGGGCAGTAACCTTTTTAAGGGCAAGATTTGAATTGGCGCTTTTCTTCTAGGTGTCTGGAATAATATCTTGCTGTTTTGAATAAAAGCAGTGGACATCTTCAAACTAAAAGCACATGTACTGGCTTTAGGGGGAGGGGGCAGAGGAGGTGCCTTCTCTGTGTTGCATGCCTGGTAAGATGAGGTGTAGTTTTGTATTGCTCTCTGGATCTTAAAAATAAACTGTAAACTCATGCTTTCTTGAAGCTATAAACGTAAAAAACTTAGGAGTTATGAGGAGGAAACAAGTGTCCTTCTGATCCAATACTACTGATAAATGGTGAGAACTGATTCTATAATACAAGTGAATGTTGGGAAACGTCAGAATTTCCTGAATTTGACATTAAATCTTACCAGGACACATTGGATAATCATGAACCTAAGCTACTGAATTTGAGGTGAAGCAAAATCAGTCAGTGTAATTCTGGCTTGTGGAGGTGAGCCTGAGCCAGCATGGGGCTAAAGGCCAATAAACTTCAGTTTTTTAAAGTTTGGTTTTTGCTTTCAGAAATAATATTTAGGCAGTAAAGTTGAGAGAGAAATTTCACTATGAGTAGCAACATGTTTTTTATAACTTAGCTATTAATATCAAACTGTACACTTGTTAAAATAGACTGGAATTGAAAGGTTAAGTGTTATCCTGCAGATTTGATAAACTCAGCTGTTGTTGTCACAGGTCTTTAAATGACTCTATTGACAGTTTTTCTTTTTTTCCTCTTTCAGTGCCTGCCATTGCGTGCTAAGCTTTCTCTTGGCTCTGCCTGGCAGGAAAAAGGGGAAACTAGAAAACCCCATTAGTTGTCCATTTGCAGAGTATCCAGGCTTTACTCTCAATACACAAAGAAATACAACGGTAGGAAGTTGTTTCACATCCGAGCCAAGATAAGGTCCTGGGGGTTTATTATTTTTGTTGCCTGATAGCATCAGGACTGGGGAGCAGGGGGCAGAGAAGGAACAGCAGATCAACATCCCATGGGGACAACAGAAGGGAAGACAGACAGATAGCCAAGTGCCGACAGCTTCAGTCAGTGCTCCCAGAGGAAGTGTTGGTTTCACCAGATGAAATTAATACACAGAAGTCTTTACAGAGGCATTCAGATGTGACATTGTTTGGGGGGCCTGGCTATATGGCAGATGTATAAAACAGTGAATCATATGTTTACATATAATTAGATCTGTATTGACAAGCCAGGCTTGCCTTTTGTTTAATAATTTCCTACATTAACATCAAAGAGCTTGTTTTTGTAATGAAAACACATTTCCCTTTTTGTTTTGCTTTGCTATAGCTCTGTATTAACATCAAACCCTAAATCGTGACTCACGCAAAGGAGACCTATGTATGTAGATGTACATATATCCATATTAATTTATAGCCTCTGAAAACGGGTGCAATGTTATAAAATTTCCTTCATTTGGATGTATTCAGGTGATCTTTTCTCTGTGTGTCCCTACAAATTTTGGCAGTACCTGATAATTTCATTATGCTTATTAACCTTCAAATACATTTGCAAAATTAGATAAGATTTAAGATTCCAATTTCTGGATCAGGAATTGCTTTGTTAGATACTCTGTGGAAATCTCAGTGTAAAGTTATCAAGACTTTGGTGGTCTAAGTGGTAACTTTATGCAGAAAACACTACAAAAAAAAATTTTTGCAGATGAGTTAATTTAAAATCGTTGGAAGAGGAAGCTGTAATAAAATCTAGGTTTGGTAGAATTTGCCTCATTTGTTTTTAAATCCATTTAAAACAGTGTTTCTAAACTTTAAAGAAATAGCTTAAATTTGAGCTAAATAACTCACTATTAAGGACTTGAGAGCAAAGTTGGTAAACTTTTTTATCCAAGCTGAGGGAACTTATCTTAAAGCGTATCAGATAACAAGAAAAGAGGACGTCAGGAATGTTTAACACTGAACAGCATTATTAATAATTTTTATCCACAAATGTGCGCAACAGGTTGTTTGTTAGTATCGAGTGCCATTTGGTTAATCTTTATTGGAGATTTTCAGTGTAAAAATCAGTTATTATATGTATATTCCTGCTATATTAGGAAACAGAATTTAGAATGTGCAGTAGACATGAAACCGTGTGGGTTTTGCACTTTTTGCAGTGGATGTTGTCCTGCACATTTTTAAAGAATAACTTTCTCTGAAATAGTCTGAGTGAAGGCAATAGTAATAAAGCTTCTCTCACAAAGACATTCATATCCCTACTTTCCACCCTTACAGCTTTTTCAGCATGAGGTAAGTTTTGTCATGTTTCTGCTTGGACTATCAAATAGCACAAAGTTATGGGAAACCTACAGTGAAGGATGCCAGCTCTTTAGATTAACACTGCTGAAGTTTTCCAATAGTTTTTACTTTAATTTCTCTTTTTTCCTTGAGGCCGAGCCCCTGATACTGAAACTCTCAATTTGGAGACAGTTGGAGTGAAAACTAATTCTGAAACTGGAAAGATCGTTGTTGATGCCCGTGAAGCTACTTCTGTTCCTCACATTTATGCAATTGGAGACATAACAGAGGTACTGAGTCTACATAAACTATTTTACAATAACAGGAAGCCGACTTTGTTCCTGACTAATAACTAGTCCTCAGATGTCGTCATGCTCTAGCATATTTCTTAGTGTTTTGCTCTTTTCATTTTGCAGAACTGTAGTGTTTATGCCAGCCACCTGGGTCAGTAATTTCCTTCACATGAATCTTATGAAGTGTCTCAGCATTGGAGATTATTACTGATGTTTATCAGGGAAAGCATTATTGGTCAGAGGCTAACAATAATATCTTTGTCACTTCAATTATCTTTCTAATAATGTTTTTATCACTTCAGACATATGACTTCATACAGCCTGTGAATGCTGAGTAAAAGCAGTTCTTACCTTCTGGAGTTGAATACACTTACCAGGAATGATGACAAGTTCTGTAATTCCATTTTTAGTATTTTGGAGTTGAATTGAGACTGGTTACAAGACAGCATTTCTGCTTTCTGACACAAAATGCTTCTGACAAAGGTGTCTTCCTCTAGAACAAGAAAAAGTAATTGCTGCAAATACTAAATGCATTTGACTTTGTTCATGATTAGTGAATGATTATGGGAAATAAACATGAGGTGTGAGGTTTTTGTGTCTGGTTTTTTTTTTAAAGGAGGAGACATTATAACTTGAGCAAAATAATTTACTTATTATAGATGCAGAAACAGAATTCTGTGGCCTTAATCTAGTGCTGTTGAAAATCTACGGTTGTCTATGACAAGAATGTCTTGTCTTGATCAAAGTGCACTCAAATACTTTCAATCCCTTGATTTTCAGTTTACAGAAGAACTCAGAGTATCTACTATAAGTTCGGCATCTTCAAATATGTTGTCTTCATAAAAAATAACATTTGTCTGGTTTCTGAACTGTACAGTTACAAGATGATGTTTTCATCAGCTGCCTGCTGTTGTGAAAAATTTGGGCAATATGTAGATTGTAGAGGCTGGGCATTGCAAGATTCAAAGTTCTTTTATCTGTTGTTGAACTTAATGGAATTGAGCACATGCCTTCCTATCAAGATTGGTTTTGGTATCATGCAGGCATCTGTTTTAAAAGTCTGGTAAATCTAAATACTGTAGCAATATCTATTTCTTCACTCTCAGGGTGGTGAGGCACTGGAACAGGTTGCTGAGAGAAGCTGTGGATGCCCCATCCCTGGAAGTGTTCAAGGCCAGTGGATGGGGCTTTGAGCAACCTGGTCTAGTGGAAGGTGTCCCTGCCCATGGCAGGGGGGTTGGAACTAGATGATCTTTAAGGTCGCTCCCAACCCAAACCATTCTATGATCTAAATGCCATATTCAGTATAATTTGAGAGGCCTTTAAAAGATTTCTCATTCTGCCATGTTTAAAATCTTTTAAAGGTCTCTCAAATTTATAAACCCTAGAGGTGCTCTGAGCATTTGAAGAGATGTAACAGGTTACACAGAGTCTTGGGAATAGCCCTGCAAGTTTCTGACTGGACTCTGGAACTGCCAGAGACACTTAGATCTCATAAATCCGCTGACCATTCCTGACCTCTTCCCCTCTATGTAGGCATGTGTTTCTTCCTGTCTGTCTCCATCTTGATGTGAATGACTTGCCATTTCCTTTTAAACTATGTTAAAACTCTTTCCTGCTAAGCTTTTTTTTTTTTTTTCTCCTCTTTGCTCTCCACAGCTTCTCTGTCCTGTTCGGTCACTCAGAGCTTTGGGATTATGTATATTTTCTCTCCTTTCTTCTCACTTCGCATACAGGTTCCTGCTGTACTTGTCGCTTCTTGCTCTGGAGCATTTTCTGAAGTCTTTATTCTGCTCGCAATGACCTTCTCCACCTGCTTGTCCCTAATATATGCTTTGGTTGGGCCTCCTACTTTCCAAACTTTATTTTTCCTTTCATCCAAGAAGCAGTTGTTAGAAGCAATGCTGGCAGGGACTTAGATTCTGTTGCTCATTTTGCTGCCAATATGCAGTGTTATTTTGGGCTACTCATTTCCTTTTGGGTGCTTTTAGTCTCCTAGCCTAAGAGGATTTGGTTAAGTAAGAAGTACAAAGTTGGAGGCAGGATGCTCTCCTCTCTCCTACTCTGAATCTAAAACATCAGATCTTCATTTATGTGTCATCTTCATTTTGTTGTTAAAACTTGAATTTCCTCTTCCTGCTTTTGTCCTTATTAATGCATATTTTTGAACTGGAGTCGTTCAATAGGCACTTCTAAATATAAGTGTTAAAAACAGCAACACAGTTTTATACTGTGTCCAGTGTACAATTGGGGAAAAAAAAGAAGAGTTAAATCAGTGCTGTGTGGAAATATTCTCTTAAGCTTTTATCAGTATATAGGCTCAATATGGGGAATTAACGAAATCACGGTATAGTACTCATGCATTTATAGAGTTTCAAGATAGAAGGAATTATTGCCAATCTTACCTGACTCCAGTACAATGTGAGCCATGTAATTCCACTTCGTAAGCAATGAAGTTATTTTATTTGAATATTTAAATTAATTTTGATTTTTATTTAAAGCACAATTAATTTAGATAATAAATTTCATTGGCATGGGAACCAACAGTGAAAGAAAGTTCCATGTTGGTGCACATCCCGAAGAATACACAGAGAAGAATAAAGTGCATCCTGCTAACACCTACAAAGCTGTAGAGCTTGATGTGTGATAGTGTCTGGGTGAGACCTACCAAAAGAGCGTAGGAAGGGGAATCTTGTTTCCTGTGAATGAGCATTATGATCCCTAATATTGCTTATAAGAATAAGATTTTTTAATTTTTTTTTCCTCAAGGTTCCTGCTCAGGATTTCTTTTTGCTCTGCTCTCTGTCTGTCAGTCTCTTTGCTACCATAAAGTGCTATTGCTCATACAAGTAGTTCTCGAGCCTTCTCCTCTCTCCTGTACCACGCCACACCGAATAGACACTAAATCACTACCAAATAGCAAGAACTACTTTTTTGTTTTAATTCATTGCCCTGGCTGGAAGGGGAGTGAGAGAGGGGAAAGGCGAGTTTCCTGATATGCTCAGAATGACTGTTTTCATTGGGGAATCATACCCAGCTGGCACAAACGGGAAGCTATGTGTGCATGGGTGTCTTGTTGCACCCTTGTATGGCAAATGGAATCCTAATGTTATCCAAGCTCTTCATTTGGAGAAAAGGGGAGAAAAAACCCTTCCCAGAGGTCAGTCAGTTTGTCTACCCTCAAAAAAGTTTTTCAGGCTTTGGCAAAATATTATTTTCAACTGACAGGTGAAATTGCATTCAGACATTTTCATCTTCTGTAATCAAGATGAGGAAGATCAAGCTGGATTTTTAGCTGGAATTTTTTTCAGTGCCAATATAAACTCTGTGCTAAAATCCTTCCTCCAGTAGTATTCTTGTTGAAAAGCGTGGCACACACTATAAAGAAGTTCTCTCAGAAGGAGGTTTATCATATGGTCATGCCGCTTTACATCTGTCATATTTCAAAGGGTGTTAAAACAAAGATGTGTAGAGAAGGTGGAATGTACAATGTGTTGCTTTGAATAGAAATAAGACCAAAAAGAGTTGTGTTAGAACAAATACACATTACTTCAAAGCTTTTTAAACTCTCTTAGGAGCCATCTCGTTTAAATGTATAATACATTGGAGGATTCTTATGAACAATTCGTATCCATAATAATCAGCAGAGTAGTTCTACACATGACTGCAAAGTGAATGTTCATTTCAAATATTTACCAGGGAAGGTCTTTAAGTCATTGTTTATGAGAAATTGGGCTTTATCTGCATGGATGTTTTAGTAATTAGTTGGGTTTTATGGAATGCGTGGCAGTGCTTTCACAATTTTATCTCTCGTTCCAATCTTCTATTCATTTCTGGAATGCCAAAACAACATCTGTATTTCCTGCTACAGAAATGATTGGCAGCCATGTTTCAGGCAAGTGTGTATAAGAAAAAACAAATGGCAAATTTCATCTGGTAAATGACATTTACAGACTTGAAAGTCAGAATGCTGGATTTGAAAAAACATTATTTGATGGATCTTAGGGGGGAAAAATGGGATAGACTTGCAGTTTTGTGATTTGTCATGAGCTATGGGGGAAAATAGGTTAGTCTTCATTAACAATTAGAATTGTAGTTTCTGTTACCAGGTTAGACATTGTTGTTTCAGGTTTTTTTTTTTGCAATGAAAGTTTTAACTTAATTGTTTATTAGTACAGATAAAAGCATAAATGCATATTAATATGCAGATAATTTATATGGTGTGTGTACTGAAGTAAATGGTATCTAATACCATGTATAGTATCTATCTAGCAACATACGGAAAAGATAACCTGGGAAACAGGAATGGATTCCAGTAAATGCTGAAAACTTTAGGAAAATAAAAAAACAAAAACAAAAAACTTGAATGTGTGTGGTGGGGAATCCTTATTTTATTTTCTGCTGAAGACTGTTTTTGAGGACTTACGGAATAATTACCCCCAAGTGGGGCTTTGCAGGAGCGTGACAAGTGTTGTACCTAGATAAGACCTGTATGAATCAAAACTTCATGTGTTTTATAAAGTGTTATGTGTTGCCCCACAAAGGTGTTTTTCAGTTATGGCTTTCTTATGTCTCCACATCGTCCTTCTAGATTTGTGACCTTTTTCCTCAACTCGGACATCTTGATAATACCTCTTGGATGAACTCTTAAATAACTTTTTAAAATAGATTTATAAAGTTTGTTAGATCTTATTAACTCACATGGACTGTTCTTCCTCAGACTTAAAAAAATTCCTTCGAAAATGCCTTACTTCAATTTGCAAAACCTTTCAGCTTCCTTAAAACTAGTTGTGGAGTTCTGATAGGCCAGTGATATTGTGCCAGCCCTCAAAATTAGTATTCTGGAACACTGCATAATCCTGTTTGGATATAAAAAGTAGCCAGGACTCATGGCTCGAACTGGAGCATGTCCTGGTCATATCCTGCTATCATTCCATTCGTCACTTGCAGGAAGTTAGCATTTGCCATTAGCAATCCTTTTCATGCCCCTCTCTAATACTAGAGCCTTAGACTAGGACTAACTCAACCTATAGGTTGCAGTGCTAAAAAATAGTCTTCAACTTCTTCGAACCAGGACCAAGAGAGGAATTCAGTAACGGTGCCTACAAATAGCCAAATTTTGTGCCTGTGTTCTGTAAAAATGTGACAGACAACTTTTCTAAAAAGGTCTGATGTTATAATACCACTGATGCTTTATACTAGGCTTTTCCTGCTTTAAAAAGACCATCTGAAAAATTTCTTGATGAGTTACTATGGAAAGAAAGGGACAAGTGAATGGTTAGTGTGTGAGTATGCTCTGCTTTTCAAGGGTGACATGATAAGACACAAGGTTTTGATACGTTCATGGCATTTGTTCCCCATCAAGACAGATATTCAACTCAGAGACTTAAAAGCATGTTTGGACAGAAATTATTACTGCCTTCTCTGTTTGGAGCACTGGCTACTAGGCTGGAATTCCAAAGATTTGGCTTTCCTCTGACCATTGTCCCAGGAGAAATCCTTGGATGCTACTTCTCCCTTAGTTAAAACAAAGCTTTGTGCTCTCTTTTAGGGCCGTCCTGAATTAACACCCACAGCAATAGCTGCTGGAAAACTGCTGGCTCGGCGTCTTTTTGGCCAGTCTTCAGAATTGATGGACTATGACAATGTGAGTTGTTATTCCTTTTTTCAATAATAAAATCCAAATCTTATGCTTTTTTTTTTTTTCTTAAGAATTTTTGTGGAATTGCATTTTGTCATCTGGAATCCATCTTTGACAGTAGCCAAAGTAGATGTGTGTGACAGAGCTACACTTCTCAGTCATGTAAAAATCTCCCCTGTATCTGACGTGCAGCTGTGTCATATGGTTCAACGGTACCTCTTTCTGTTTTCTCACAAGCAGGTGCCTACTACAGTTTTCACTCCCTTGGAATATGGTTGTGTTGGACTGTCGGAAGAAGCAGCTGTGCGATGTTATGGATCAGATAATGTTGAGGTATGAAAACATTTTTAATTTGCTACTTGGTGTCAGAGTTGCACTATGAAAAGACAGAAGTTGTATCAGGCAAAATTTTTGGTCTTCAAAATACTTTGTTTGCAGTTAGGGAGCTGATGTCTTCAAAAAAGCTCAAGGCTTTAAAAGTATTGTAGGTCACAACGGAAACTGTTACCTAGTGGGTTTAAAATTATTGATAGGGTGTGACAGCTTTAAACTAGCTGCCATTTTATTAAGTTATATTGTGCAGCATCATTAAATATCAGTTATGTTCCTTTTAATTGTCAGAATTTCTGGTCAGGTTCTTTAGTCTAAATTTTTGGAATGTCTCCAGAAATATTTGCACAAGCTGCTGAGTGTCTTTGTGGCTAAAATGTCTTGATGTAATATGCCTGGGCATTGCATATTGAGGAAGAAATCTGTTATTGCATATATTCATGCCCAGCCCTTTGATATGAGGAATGAGATTAAGGTACTCATGATGAAGTTCACGATCACTGTATAATAAGAAACAATTCAAACAAGTCACCCTTGAAAACATATGTTGTGTTACCTTTATTCACTCACCAAAAAGACTGCCAGCACGTGACTTGATAAGCTATGGAAATATAGAGCACAATACTTTACTTTATGTCCAGTCAGTTATTAGTTTTGTTTTTTATGATTCTGAAATACAGTTTATACTTCAAAAATCTGTTCCAGAACTGTTATCTGGGTTTCTGGATGCTCGTGCCATCTAGAATGAAATAAATTTAGAACAATTGTTCTAGTCTGATTAAGGCAGACAATTGATGTGTGTGTCAGAAGATGCTGATGTTATGTATGTATTGGAGAGCAAGTTCAGCTGATGGACTTAGCTTGAAGCCCCAGGTAAAATCATTAATGGAGAAATAAGCGTTTACTCTTCAGAATGCAAAAATTACAGTTTGGGTTGCCTTGTGGTATACATTATTTAAATATGAAAAGTTTCTTGGATTTCATTATTTTCAGTAAACATAGTATTAAACTTTTGGGGGAAGCTTAAAGGAACAAAACTAACATTTTTAATTTGGGGCATTTGAGTAACATGATTATTTGTGATATTTTTTTCAGTTTTGTTTTTAATCTAATGGTTCTCTAAGAAAGGTTCGTGTTAAACTCTTACTGTGTTTTACATATTTTTCTTTAATGAACAAGTTACAAACAAATAATTTCTTTCTACAACATTAGAAATATGTCGTAATAGTAGTCATTATAAAACTAAATAGGTTTCGACATAATAGTACTTTCTAACACAAAATGTTATTGTTTTCCCTACCAGGTATACCATGCATATTATAAACCTTTAGAGTTTACAGTGGCTGAAAGAGATGCAACTCAATGCTATATAAAAGTGAGTGTTGTGAGCTTTTAACTTGCTTTTAACTTAAAACAAGAGATGTGGTACAGCCTACCTTAAAGAGGACTGCTTGGCAAGAAAACCTCCCAAGATGGATGAGAGATTTTCTTGGTGACAGCCTGTTTCTCTAGTGTCACTTCAAATATTTAATATTCATTACATATACCATTGCATCTTGAAAATGCTTTACAGATATTAGCATTTTTCAGAGCTGATGTTCTGCTGACTTATACCATCTTTGAACTGCTCTTAAGATCCTAAGAAATGTTCCAAATTCTCTGAGATTAATCTCTGCTTCTCCCATCAAAGTTCTTAACTAGTTGTAGAATCATAAATCATGTAGAGTGGTTTGGGTTGGAAGGGACCTTAAAGATCATCCAACCTTCCTGCCGTGGGCAGGAACACCTTTCACTAGACCAGGTTGCTCAAAGCCCCATCCAACCTGGCCTTGAACACTTGCAGGGATGAGGCATCCACAGCTTCTCTGGGCAACCTGTTCCAGTGCCTCACCACCCTCAGAGTGAAGAATTTCTTCCTTAAGTCTGATCTAAATCTGCCCTCTTTCAGTTTAAAGCCATTACCCTTGTCCTATCACTATATGCCTGTGTAAAAAGTCCCTCTCCAGCTTTCTTGTAGGCCCCCCTTTAAGTACTAGAAGGCTGCTATAAGATCTCCCCAGAGCCTTCTCTTCTCCAGGCTGAACAATCCCAACTCTCTCAGCCTGTTTTTATAGGAGAGGTGCTCCAGATCATCTTTGTGGCTCTCTTTTGGACTCACTCCAACAGGTTCATGTCCTTCTTATGTTGGAAGCCCCAGAGCTGAACACGATACCATAGGTAGGATCTCACAAGAGCAGAGTAGAGGGGCAGAATTGCCTCCCAGCCTCAGTACCAGCCCCTGAGGAACGCCACTCGTCACTCGTCTCCACTTGGACATCCAGTCGTTAACTGTAGCTCTTTGAGTGTGACCATCCAGCCAATTCCTTGTCCACCGAGTGATCCATCCGTCAAATCCATGTTTCTCTAATTTAGAAACAAGAATGTTGTACGAGACAGTGTCAAATGCTTTGCACAAGTCAAGGTAGATGACGTTGGTTGCTCTTCCCTTATCCACCAACACTGTAACCCTGTTGTAGAAGGCCACCAAATTTGTCAGGCATGATTGGCCCTTAGTGAAGCCCTGTTGGCTGTCACCAATCACCTCCTTATTTTCCATGTGCCTTAGCATGGTTTCCAGGAGCGTCTGCTCTATGGTGTTGCCAGGCACAGATGTAATATTGGAGTTGCCATCTCTTGGGGAAAGTATGCTAACTTCAAAAAAATTAAGCATAAGGCTTACAAATCTAGAGTAACTGTTCAGTCTTTCTCATGAAAACAAAAACCTCCTGGTTTGAACCAAAGTGTTGGACTTGAAATGTGTCTTTTCCTAGAGCAATCCAATTGCTTCAGTCTTGAAAAGGTTTTTGATGCACTCACCCATGATAGAGAATCTTAGATAAGGTGATGTGTAGTGTTGGTAGAATATATCATAGTTTTCTTTTTTTTTTTCCTTTTCTTCTCAATATCAGGGAACAATCTTTTTTAAATAAACATAGTAACTTCTGTAGGTCCATCACAAATTATTATGTTGTTATTGTTGTGTTATGTAAGGAATATCCATTGTCAATAGTTGCAATCAGTTTTTCTAACTTTATTTTGTAATATCTGATTTGTGTAAGTGCCTTAGTAGCTTGCCTTAACTGTCCCAAGTGTCAGTGCAACTAAGGTGATGCTACTTCTTTTTAGCTATTCGCTTTAAATTATTTCAATGAAAGTAAATATTTGAGGGTGAAGTAATAATAGCATAATAGCTGTTGGATGATATTGAATATATTCCTTACTAAGCTCCCAAAATGCATGAACAAACATTAAACTTCAGAGTTTCAAACTAATGCAAAAGGTTTTTGTCTTTAAAACTCCTCAGTATTTAAAGTACCACATCAGAATTGCTGCTGTTGCTGGGATTCCTAATGAAAGAATCCAAGCCTTTACTGAATAGCAGAACCTATTAGATTAGTGATGATTTAATGCTTGATGGGAGGACATAGGGAGAGACTGATTTTCTTTTCATAATTCTAAAGATGGTGTCCTTAAAGGAACTAAAAGGTTTTCATTAAGTTCTCTAATAAAAGTTAAGTGTGCAGTGACTCAGGCCCTCCCAGATACTTATTAACTCACCTTCCTCTTTGGCTGCTTCCAAGGCTTGACTCCTTTTTAGGTTATGTGGCTGATGTGGTAAATGTATCTCACCAAACATGCTGCTGTAAATGACTGAATCACAAAGGCACAGAATATCCTATAATAGGTAGTTGTCTTCTTTGGAAGTAGAGCTTATTAACTGCATAGGCTTGGAGAACTGCTAAGGTGACCATTCAGTGTCAAAATAACACTACTCTGGTTACTAGACTGCAGAAGGTATTTTGAGGATTTCATACAAATGACAACAAAGTATTCAATTTGCCATAAATTGTCATTGTCAGTGGCTCCCTGAAGTCTGAAAGAAATATGATTTTAAAGCTTTGATTCAGGAAAGGGCTTAAGGACAAGCATAAGACCTATTGAAGTCAGTAGGACTTAAGCAAGTGCGTAAGTTTTTGGCACACTGGGAATAAACAGCTGAACTAGGATTTCAGGGCACTTCAGTTTCATCTAATTCAACTTCATGCCTTATCTTTAGATGTTCTAAGAAAAGATCTCTATGTAATGTATTGTTTTCAGATGGTGTGCTTACGAGAGAGCGAGCAACGAATACTTGGCCTTCATTTCATTGGACCAAATGCAGGCGAAGTTATTCAAGGATTTGCTCTTGGAATCAAGTAAGTACAAAAGAATGTCTCTAGCTTCTAAAGCCTGCTTTTTAAGTTATTGTAAGATTATAAAAGATAGCTGCCTAGTTTTGGCAACACTATAAAGAGTCCATGCTTTTTGTTATTTTTATGTAGTATTGCACATATTTTCACTAAAAAGACTGCAGTTCTTCATTAAGATGTGCTGGATTTAGTTACTGTAATACTGGAAATAGTTAGGGAAGAACTGAGAAAAATGTATTGTTGGCTTGATATAGTTAAAGCAAAGAATAAAATTGTGCATTAACTTAGTAATGTTAGTTTTCTGAGAGTGTAGGTTCTTTTGCATTCTATGCATAGGATAGGAAATCACCATATAGTTTTGCAAGTTACTTCCTTAAAAGGATATTTGTGCTTTACCTAAAAACCTTTCTTTATACCTGCAAAGCATTTCCTTTCCTAATCTCATCTTTAAATGTGCGCAGCCATTGCTCCTCAAAAGCTCAGCATGAATTTTGTTGCATGAATTTTTATATTTCTGGGGTATAAGCTAACCACAATATGATAGGGTAAGAAAGAAACCTCTGTAGGATGATGGAAGAGGGGAGGTACTTTTGTCTAGAGCTATCTGATAATTGCATGGACAAACTTACCTTAAAGTAGGTGAACCTTTGTGATCTTATCTTGCTTAAGATTTTGCTCAAATATTAATACAGAAGTCCTCTCTTTGAGGGAGTAAGGAGTGATTCTGGGTCCTCTTTGGTTAAATGAATAATTCCTGCTATGCCTTTTGTGTGCAACAATTATTTCTTATTTGTTTTTTCATTTCCCTTCTTATTGCTGATTCCCATCTTCAGAAATGTTGACTCATATGTTTACATTACTAAATTATGTTTTTTAACTCTTCTTTGAAGAAAGTAGCCTGGAACACAAGAAATCACCCCCAATTGTGGTGTTAGTTCATTTTCCTAAATATCATCACCATTTTATTGCAGTTTTAGTCTTACAGTTGTGAGTGACTAGCATAAATGAAAAGCAGAAATGATTAAGAAGGCAGGACCACAAGTATCATGTGAGGAATATCTTGGAAATCACTGATTGCAGTGTACCCTCAGTACACATTTTCAACATGTGTTTGTAGTCCATTAATTGCCAGTGGTATAAATTCTAGAACTACATTTTTTAGGATGTCATTGGTTTGAAGTTTTATCCAAAATAACCAGTGAAAAGGAAGCACATGAAACCGCTGGAGTGTTTTTCTGCCTTGCCTGAGGGAAATTAAAACTTTAGCCACAGTAAGAGGTTTTCAGCAGGTCAGATTCTTGTATTGGTTTCTATTGTGTTTCACAAATCCAGAGCTTTCAATATGGAACACCCGCTGTAAGAGCTGCTGTTCTCCATTGTCAAATATTAGGTCTTACTTCAGTCTCTCCAAAGGATGATTTTCCATCTCCCCTTCCCACTTAGAACTCCAGTAAGATCTCTGCTCAGCAATGATTTTTTGCTTGTCAGTGCTTTTTTGGACATAGGTGGGGACAGTAGAAGACATCTATGGCTCTCTTCCTTGTGTTTCGTGGAGGGAGAGAACATTGTCCTATAGAGAGCTTGAAACAATTCTTAAATTTAGGGCCATTTCAGCTATTCTTACAGCATGACGTGCCAGGAACAGCAGCTCAAGGGAAAGTCATCAAGTCTGAGACTGTTACTGGACAAGTAAAGGAATTAAGCAAGTGGGATTTTAGCTCAAGAGTTTTTTTTAGGGTTTTTTATTTTTTTTTCTTTTTTCAAATGAGAGACTTTTTCCTCCTGCTTATAACTTAGATAACTTAAGTGTAAGCACCAGACTTTCTCTAAGATCATGGAAGAATATTCTGGTATTACTTCCTTCAGCAGATTTCTTGCCAGCAGTCCTAATTAAGATTTTCTTCCTCTATGTGTATGTGTGTGTTTTCCCATCTGGAGTCAGAGTTAGTGAAACGCACATGTATGTACAAGAAAAGCTGAAGGCTGCAGTTTTGTCATATGTTTTTGCCATAGGCTCAGTTGTGACTTGGGGTAAATTGCTTAATTCTCTCTGTCTCAACTCATGACAGCTCTTCCCAACCTAACAGTGTTGTGAAGCCGGGCGTTTAAATGTTGTTGCAGAAGTACCTGAGAACTAATAGACAGCATTGTTTGAAGAAGAAATGTAACTCCTCTACCTGATAAAATGGAAAAGAGCAGAATTACTTTGATGTGTTAGGACATTCTAGCTGCTTCAGGTGAATAGTGTTTGACTTTGTGGGCCTTTTTTTTCTTTTTCTTTTTTTTTTTTTTTTTTGGTAGATGTGGTGCTACGTATCCTCAACTAATGAAGACAATTGGCATTCACCCTACCTGTGCTGAAGAAATTACCAAGTTGCACATTACAAAACGTTCTGGCTTGGATGCAACAGTCACAGGCTGCTGAGGTTAAATACCATCCCTGGAAAAAAGGAAAAAAGCACAAAATATATTTTTAAAGAAAAGGGGCATTTAGAGTGGAAACAGCTTTAATGGTTCGAGTTCCAGGAATGTTTCTCATTCTCCTTGTAGACAGCTTTTTCTCACAGTCAGACAAAGAAATTGTCCTCACACCGTCACAGTTCTAAAAACAATGCAGTCCTGCTGTAACAAATCTCTCTCTTTTGAAGTGCCCATAATTTTTCTCTTCCTGAGAACTAGGGAATAATCACAGTTTAATATATGTAAATATAAATGAAGCCGGTGACATCTGAGGCCGTCTACAAATGAAACAGTTGTCGTTTGAGTTTCTCTGCTGGCATGACTGACTGCCAACAGAAGTGTCTCATGTAATGTTCCTAGAGACACTAGGAATCGGACAGGGTCTTCCTTACAATTCTGGTGATGATACTTTCTCCTAAGTACTTGCATAGCTCATTACTGATCCTAATCTTGAACACTGAGACTCTGTACTCACTAGTAGAAACAAGTTCCCAGAGTGTGTAACATTGAGTAAGAAGTCGTCTTTGTTTTTTTCCTTTAAAATGTGATATATACAGAAATGTAATAGAAAATCACTTACCACTGAAACTGTGCTGCTACGGGATGAATCCCAATGCATTAATCAGTGGCAGCCTGGTCATAACATTATGGTGACGGCTGAGAATGAATGAGCTCAGAGATGCTAAAGAAAGAGTTGAATTTTATGGTGACTTCTGTGCCTACTCTTGAAATGTCTAATTCAGTTCAAATTAGATTGACGTATCTCACAAATTACTGCTTGAACACCATATATAAAGCAATGCTGACAAGTAGAATCAAAACCACTAATAATCCAACTAATTTTCTTCAGCATTTTCTATTTTATAGAATGCAGAAATCTGGCTGACAAAGTGATATATTTTGTTGGTTTGTTTTTAAGATTTTCTCAATGATGAGCTAGATACTGCATCTAAATGGATTTAGATCTGTCTTTAACAAAACATGTTACTGAAGGGAACTATATTGAACAGCGATCTAGAAAAGAAATGGTCCTGCTCAGAACAAAGATAGAAAATAATCATCTGCAAACTTTTTTGGGTTTTTTTTGAGTATTGGCCAGAGTAAGAAAGCATTAATGTATTGCAAATTTCTGCTTATTTTCCTGCAGTCCAGGAGGGGGAGATACTGCCTAATTTGTGGCAATAAAGAAACAGAAATCTGATAGTGAAGCTTCTTTTGCAGAACCCTGTTAAAGAGCCTGACAAAGGCAAACACAAAATTAACTGCACTGAATTTCAGTCCGAGTTGCAGCTGCCAACGTTTTGATATGCTTAGTCACTGAGTTTCTTGCACCCTTTACAGCAGAATAGTGCATGTAGGAAAAGAATAGATCAGCTTGAGGTGAAACAAAATGTATCCTTTTTGCAGTTTGTATCAGTGGATTTCTGTGGGGAACTTCGTATTTTCATAGCTGTCCTGCTTGTTGCACAGTTTGGAAGAATAGCCTGATGATCATGTACATCTTTGCTATTTTTCCTTTGACTGCTATTTCACTGCTGCAGCATGCAACACAGACAAATGGTTGGTTTATTTCAAGAGTGAAATTTTCTTTACCATGAGAATTGTACCTGTCAGAGAAACTATTAGACAAAAAGTGACCAGACCTTCCTTCTAAAATATGATGTAATAGCTTTTATCACACTCTCATTGACATTAGAATACTCTATTTTCAGTGATTTGGTCTGACTTAAGCAAAACCAAAAGAAATCTTAAATGCTTTCTTTACAAAGTTTCCTGATATTTCTGGTCCACAGAAGAGGAAGGAGTGATACAGTTTGACTGCAAGTGGCATTTCCTATCAGATCTGCTGATGCCATTTTTTCATCTACGAAGTCATCCATAAGTTTGTAGTTGAAAAGAAATACTTTGAGTGGAAGTGTAGTTGAAACACTGCCTGAATATTGCTACTGCCTTTAGAAGAAATGATGAAAACTTTATATCTGTATATAAATGTGTGCATACCTGCACATTCAGAAGTTCCTGTTTCCTTTAATGAAAGTCTTATGAGTATGATACAGCCAAAAACCCTACTAGATTTTTCTAGCTGTTTAAAAAGAAAGTGGGTTTTTAAAATGTTTTACTTAATATTTCAAAACATTGAGATACTGAGCATCTCAGTCTACAGAGATTTTGATGTGAGAAACATCCCACCTCTGACTAAACTGTAATGCATATTCATACAGGTTTTTTTTCCTAGTGACTACCTATTGTAGTCCTTTTGTACCCGTAAATAAAAACATTAGCGTTTAGCCATGTGAAAATTGTTTCTCTTCCAGCAGACTGAGTTCTCAGCCCCTACAGACAAATGGAAAGTTAATTTCATTCATCATAAAATTCAAAATAATGCTTTAGGACAACAAGAAAAGAGATCTCAAGGAAACAGTGTATATGGGGTGTGAAACTAAGGCATGTCAGCATTCTCAGAAGTAATGGAAGCAATAGAATTGCTGAGTGGATGGCAAGAAAATTGATTCTGTATGTTTCTCATATAGTGGAAAATTTTGTTGCCCCTCTGAAGTAAAACTAAATGTACATTCATGCCTACATAACTCTAAAGTCAGAATCAACAGCAAGACAGAATAATGATGACAACTACTGTGATTGTGCTTTTTTTCCTGAAGGGTTTGCCAGGGATGGTCCTTATGAATTGTTTTGAAAAGCCTGACTAATGTCAATTGAAATGACTGATGTACACTGCAAACTACTGATTATATCTGAAAATGTGGGGGGAAAAAAAAAAAATTAGTCAGGCTCCTTCTCAGGATGCCAGCTGATGAGGGCTTGTTTGTCAAACCACACTGGGTGCAAACAAGTCTGAGCATTGCTGGGTCCTTCACATGTATGATCCCAATATTTATTGTGTTGTGAATTAATGAATTAATAAAGAAAAAATATTTTCTAGTAAATGTTTGATTGTGTTTGTTTAATTTTGTACATATGGCTTCTGCTTACAAAAGATTTCGTTTTTGGTCTTAATGCTGTATCTCTTGGTTGAGGTATGTGTTAAGGAAACAAAGATGACAGACTCAGAGCTTTTAATAAGGAAATGTTGATACCTCTCTGTCTCTGATGTGTAAACTGAATAGCCATGGGGATTATTCCAGGCTGGATGACCTTCTTGTTTTAAATTTAAATTAAGAGAACCTCTAGACTTGGTAAGTATGGTTTCAAATACTCTCCTTTTTATTCCCACTAATGAGGTCGAACAGGTATTTTCACAGTCCAGGTGTGTTGACATGCTTCTTGAAGACTCGTCAAGAGGAAACTCCCTTGAAATACAGTGCAGTCGCAGTATAATACAAGACTAAACTATTCTACATTAGCTATTCATTTGGGGTTTTAAACTAGGACACGTAGTGGAAAAAAATGCATTGCAGGAAAGCGAATTAGTAGCTATAGGTACTGCTAGGTAAAATGTTGGAAAATTAATTAGGATATTACTAGCAAAATATATTTTAAAACTCTGAGAAACTTCTCTGTCAGAAAAGAAAGGGACTACATTGTTCAAATTTATTTCAATTGTCTTTTATTTCTTTAAATCCACTTATTTTGATGAGAAGTTCCCATTAAGTCAGGTGACGCTGAGCTTCTGAAACAGGCTAGTTTAATGTTACCTCAGTATTTGCCCTGGATATGATGCTGAGAAAGAATATTGACTTTATTATATCTGAAGGCATTTTAACTTCTGCATTTTTAATCTGTTTTAATATCCTGGAATATTTCATTGCAGGTTCTAACTAATTAGGATAGCTAGGAACAGTGGCTGAAAAAGGGCGTAAGGTAAGCATAAATCTTGATTTTTTTTTTAATTTTTTTTTTTTACTCCTTGTTTTCATATGCCACTTAATCCTGACGCAAAGAATAACAGACAAGCATATAGACAATAATCTTTATAAATTAGGAACTGAATATACTACATTATATTATACTTAATGATAGCTTGTTCTCAATGCTAAGGTATTGTGCACAATTAAGTCTTTTCCTTTTCCCATTTATGCATGCACTGTATGTTGTTATACCTACTGGAAAATGTTTCTACAGTTTAGATTACTTCAGACCAGGAGATGGAAAAGATATTTAAGTACAACAGATACACTTTTCTTTTTTTTTTCTGCTAGCACAGTTATCTGACAAAAATATAAATGCCATAGTGCAATGTATTTCTAACCAAAACAGTTGCACATTGCACAGGCTTTTGAGTTTGAAGGCTTCTCTTCAGAAGCTCATGCCTATCCAACAAAGTAGGCAATTTTGTGCCCATGTAAACTGCCATTTGTCTAAATCCCAGTGAAATCAATGTACTCAAAGTTAATGTTAGCCATCAATTTCAGTGGGCTGCAAGTATGTGTCTTAAGTGCTTTGTTAAAGGGGAATCAATATAAGCATATGCCAAAATGTCTTTCATTATTACAGTTGGGGAACAGACTGCAATTATGATTCAAAACATAAAAGGTACAATAGACGTCTATGATTAGGCAATGAAATATGCCTTTAATAAGCATAGTGCAGACAGTTTGTTTTGCAAGAAGTAAACTTGTATAAAATTCATTGACTTTCATTCTTTCAGATCTGTGTGCTCTCTTTTAAGAGAGGTTTTTTAGTTTTATGCACAAAGTTTTCCTGATGTTCTTCCAGCAGAAAGGCTGGGTTTGCTTGCATTTATTCTCATGCCAAACTTTAGTTTTACTAGGAAAAGGAGAAACAGCAGAGCAGACCTTTTTTCCAGGGCAGCATGCAACAGATATGCTGTAATTACCCTAACTGATTTTTTACAAATGGAGTATTTCTGTCCACTACATGTCAAAGAGCTAATTATGTTTCCGTTGTGGCACTCAAAGTCAATATTGTCAGCTCTTCTTAGTTCTAATCCTCTACATTGAGTTTTGATGGGCCAGGTGAAATATCCCCTTCAGCACCTTCCTGCAA